ACCCTCAACCTCAATTTACAACAACATAATAAGTATCTTTAAAATTGACTAAATAAGAAATGATGCAAGGGCATGTAATGAGGTAAGGGAGCAGGGAAGCGAGGGGCATGTTGAAATTTGTTTGTTTAGGCTTTAAAATGTGTGGTCGCCGCACGGAGAAAAGGGAACTACATTGTACTTATTTATTTCGACGAGACCTTCATATAATCAAGATTGAACTTCACTTCAGGTAAGTTCGTTTAATCTTGTGATTTTATCGTCGACCGAAAAGATTAATTCACAAGCGATGAAATCGCGAGTTGTCAGTTTTGAGTCAGTATTTTTTAATTCTCTTTCGTGTCGATTGCTGATTGAATTGGAGCCAGAAATGGGTCAAAACGAAATAAGTAAATTACCAACAGATATTCAGGCTGAGGCGACAAACGCCATATCCAAACTACTTCCATTTAAATCCCGAATAAATTATGAAAAGGAATACAAAAATTTTCAAAAATGGAAGCAATTAAAAAACGTGCGAGAAGAAATAAAGTTTTTTAGCCTATCCTCGCTGTTACAGTATCATTTAATCTACCCTTACGGTTAAAGTAGTATTTTATCTATTTTTGATAGATATAAAGCAATTATATCGTTGATGACACCAGCAAGTCAGTTTTAAAAAGACTTAAGTCTTAAGTCATTTCTAAAATCAAAATGATTTAAATCTTAAGTTAAATTGAACATAAAGTTCAAACTTAAATCATAAGTATATATTCTTTAAACTGTGATTTAAGTCAAGCTTTAAGTCTTTGACTTAACCATTTTCTTTCAAGTCAAGTCATTTTCGTTAAGACTTAAATCAATATAAATGTGATGTAAATCGTTTTTATGACTTAAGTCTATATTTTTGATTTCAATTATTATGATCCGTGAGTTAAGTCAGCAAAATTACTTAAATCAAAATAGTTAAACCTATTTTTAATGTTAATATAAATTTTCTTATAACCGATTGGGTCTATTTCCTTATATTACCTGTATTATATTAATTTATTGGAGGTACAAACGAGACATGAGACTAAAAAACTAAAATGAGTCAAATCCACATTTATTTATTAAAACAATTAAGTATGTAACTAACTAATAATTTTTGGGCGGAAGTAATGGTGGTATATTTTTTAATTGGAATGCTCTTTTACAAAGATTTAAATAGTTTTCTTTTTGTAAACAAATGGGCTTGCAATATTATATTATTTTTACCCACTATACATTTTGTACATATGTTGCTTTAAAGCAATCGAAAATGTCAATATTCCATGGGTATATTGACGAGGTCTAAATTATAAGAACATTTTCTACAAAAACTCGCATCTGATTCACTCTGCTCTCTCTGATTCATCAAATATACACGGTGTTCCATTTAAATTAAAAAAGTTATTGCCGTTTAAAGCTAGTAATTATTTAATATAAATTATTTTTGGTTAGGTTATGTAGCCTTAAATTTGTTACTGCAATTTCACAAAATTGAAAATATTTCAAAAACGGTAAGGTTTAAGTATGATAAATCTTAATGAAATTTACCTTTATTTCAATCGTAGAATCTAAAAATAGAATAAAAAATAGAACTATAATATTTTTTACTTATTTGGACACTCTATATCGTGTATTATTGACTATAATAAAGCATTTGATAAAGTAAGACACAAGCAACTAATAGAAGCGTTAGAACGAAAAAATTTCGATACAAGAGATATACAAATAATAGTAAAACTGTACCTCAATCAAAGTGCGTCTGTTCGCGTCCAATCTGAACTGACGAGAGCAGTGGATATCAAACGGGGAGTTAGACAGGGATGTGTTCTTTCACCACTCCTTTTCAACGTCTACTCAGAGGAAATATTTAACAAAGCCCTCGAAAATGATGCTGGTGGAATATGAGTTAACGGCAGTAGAGGGAGATGGCCGATTCTGCATCAGGAGGAGCAAGGAGCCGGAAGTGACGTAAATCGCCTAAGAACATGTAAAATAGTCTAATAAACAAGAATAAACAGGTTTGAACAAGAAACGACCGCTTTAAAATAGAAATAAACGGGTTGGAACAAAAAATAAACAGGTCTGTTGTTTTAAGATAAAAAGCGGTTCAAAGCAGTTCAAAAGCGGTTCAAAGTGATTCAAACCCCAGTTTATTCTTGTTTATTAGCCTATTTTACATGTTCTTAGGCGATTTACGTCACTTCCGGCTCCTTGCTCCTCCTGATGCAGAATCGGCCATCTCCCTCTACTGGTACATGAAGAAGAAGTATCTTGTAAAATTATTGTTTAATTGTAGCTCTAATGGTTTTTCAACGAACCCAAAACTTACAGTTTGTAATAATCTAATCGTTTAGCTACAATACTCCATGTCGTATGTGGTGAACAACCTTGTATAAACACAAAAATATTTATTTTTTATAAAATTTAACTAATTCATATAAAAAAAATTATATGAATTTATTCCGAGTGTCATTTTCTATCGAATAGAGTAAAAAATACCGAGGGTGCTAATTAAAAATCAAAAGTTGTCATTTCCGTGAAACAGAAAGTGACCGAAAAAAACTGAATACGTCAATCAATCCTAATTTATGTCATATGCTAACATGCCATATCTCGTTGTTTTATTGGAAAAAATAAAAACGTTATAGAGGTGAGCCACTTTTGAGACGCACCCGGTACATTGAATGAAATTCTCAACTAAAAAGGAAGATAAATGCAGGAATGTCGATAAAAAATCTATTTCATCCCAAGTATAAACCTTGTTTATTGCTATAAAATTGCATAAAACAATTAAATAAAACAAACGCGAAGAGGGCAGGTGAACATCATAGCAACCCGTCATCAGATATGGACCATTTACCGGATGCTGCAACGTTACGCGTTCTTGCCTTTCAATAGCGCCGGATATACCTCTCCTCCTCCGCCCCTAACCCGCGCGTTCCACGCAGCTCGTGCCTAGTCGATCACTTCCGGTTTGTGGGCGACAACGTATCCCCCCTCTCTCTTCGTTTCATCGTTACTCTTCTTGTTAGTACATTGAAAATAGACAGCACGTAATATTAGTAGCACGGCCAGGGCCAGTACCATAATACACACACAACCAAACTTATATGGCATCATCTATTATTTTTCATAATTTTTGAGACGTATGAAAATGTTGTTTATGAATAAAACTCAGTCCTTACCAATGACTTTTAATGAAAAATAATCCATATAGCAATAAAAAAATCAGCCTTTTTGTTATGGTTTCAACTAAAACGTTCATATCTGTAGCTGCCAGAAGTTATCTTTGTAGCTCTGGATGAGAAACATTGGGATTTATTCTAGCAATTTGGCCCACAAGGCGGTCTTGTTGTTCAGTTGTGACTCTTTGACGACTTTGTCTGGGCCTATCCTTGTGTGTTCATAATTCCAAGTACCTTGCATATGTTTTCGATACAACACCCTGGGTAACGCCTACTATCTCTGCTACGTCTCTTTGGAGCATTCCTTGTTCGGTGAGAGCAATAATTCTTCCCCTCTATACATCTGTTAATCCAACATAAGGCATTTTTTTATTTTTTGGATCGAATGAAAATTACCGGACAATCGTGATTTTACTACTGAAAACAAAATTCAAAAGAAAATAAATCTCAGCAGTCGTTTATTCTTTATTATCATGTTTATTTACAACAAAAAGCCTTATCTGAAAGTCGTATACCAATTTTTATCCTTGCAAGAAATTTAGTCAGAAATAAGGAGTGATTCCATATAAGTTTGGTTGTGTGTATAATATTTATGCCAATTAGGGTTGGACTGGGCCTGAGGATTTGAAAAAAATATTCTTCACATTGACGCTAAAAGAGTTAAAGATTTTTTTGATGATTTAACTGGGCGTGCACATATAATTTTGTTATCATTCCTTTGATTTACTTTCAGTAATTGTCTCGTATATTGGCATCTTTAGAACTGGATGTTACTGCAGGATATGACAATTTGATCTAGCCACCCTATCTCGATTAATTTTGATTTGAGCAAAAAAAGTATAGAGATCATTTTTATGTAAAATTTGATGCTCTACAACTTTTATTTGAACTTTTTTTGTAATCCTTGCCGTTTCTCCGAAATTTCGAGGCCTATTTTCTTGGACTATTGCAATTTGCAATCACGTATCAAGAAATACTTACTTTCTGAGTACCTTAAAAACTTATCTCATAGCGCTGAAAGAAAACACTCTCGCCGTGGCCTCAAAGCCCGTTTGAATGACAATGCGCTTTAATAACCTGCACGTGAGTATAATGATGGAAAGAGATTAAAAATCAATGTCTTTTTAGGGTTCCGTACCCAAAGGGTAAAAACGGGTACACTATTACTAAGACTTCGCTGTCCGTCCGTCCGTCCGTCTGTCACAAAGGTCTATCTTATGAACCGTTATAGCTAGACAGTTGAAATTTTTACAGATAATGTATCTATGTTGCCGCTATAAGAACAAATACTAAAAACAGAATTAAATAAATGTTTATAAATAAAAATTCTTTCAAGTCCTCGGTGGCCGCTTGGTTAAAGCGTTAGGACTTTACGCTGCTATGACGTTGGAGCCGTAGTAAGGCAGTTTGGAATCCTAGTCAAGGCGACTTTTTTTAATCGTTTTTTTTTATTTTTTCTTTTTACATATTTATTATTGATTAATACAATTTTTAGTAATGTGTTTCTTCATTTTTTTTAAATTACTTATACGCGCATTCAAAATTTCAGTTAAATCGGAAAAAAAGTTTATAATAATATATAGTGTCTAATGTTGTATAGATAATGAATGTTACGGAACCCTTCGTACGCGAGTCCGACTCGCACTTGACCATTTTTATTTGATTAGGCTATTCGTTTCCGGGAAATGGCGGTATTCCATATTAGAGATACTATTCCATATTTGCTTATTTTCATTTATTTTTGACATCTTTTTTATATTAAACTTTTAAACTTTAGTTGATTTTAACAAATTATTTTTTTCTTTGCAGATCCCAGACAGTGGACCGAAAACCACGTGGCCCATTGGCTCCAATGGGCGGCCAAGGAATTCTCTTTAGAGAATATCCCCCTCCATCACTTTCGCATGAAAGGCAAAGACATCTGTGTTATGGGCAAAGATGCTTTTGCCGCTCGTGCGCCAGCTTTTGTGGGGGACATCCTTTGGGAGCACCTAGAATTACTCCAACGAGGTAGGTACCAGTCATGTTACAATGTACCAGTTGCCAATCAAAAGACAACCTGTAAAGAGGCTGTAAATCAGAACTCATCTGTAAATAGGTTAATTTTTTGTCGCAATAAGAAATCCAAACTAACTAACTGATAAATAGTTGATATTACACTACTCCTCCTTCGGAGTCGTAATGTTGCCGGGTAACGCATTTCGTGTCAGGTAAAAGTATTATTCGGTAATCCCGAAACATCTTGTGGTATTACATTCGATAATATTTTCCATTGTTTCTCTATTCCTGGCGGTGTAACTATAAAAACTCATCGTGTAACCATGTCCGCACTGTCTGATACAACTGTACATCGTGTCCCCTGTCCACTACAACTGTACATCGTGTAACGTAACCCCGTATGTCCACCGTCTGATATTCCTCAGCCAAGACATTTTTTTTTCGATACCTCTCCGGCTTTCTATCGACAAATGCAAGAATTGATATACTCCATTGTTATTTTTCCTACTACATTGTTACTTTTCTACTTGAGTCCCCATTGCCACTTTTCCTACTCTATAAGTTCTGGAAACTCTCTATAATTAAGGAAACATTATTTGAGTACAATAAATCTTTGTCGTTAATGTAAATTTTAAACAATACACCTCAATATTTCAGATATAGAACGCGAAAGGCTGACAAACACGTTAAATCCGCTGTATGAAAACGTGTGTGTTCCGGATATCCCCCAATACATCGATTATTCCCAGACTCCAGTAGTTAACCCTGCTGAGGACAGGAAGCCTGTCTCTGTTGCTAATACACCACCTCCCAATCACGGCAGTGCCCCTACGCAACATACCAACAATAATTTCCTTCACGACGGTAAGTTTCGACAAATTTTTATTTCAACACTAACATGTCTAAAATTTTAAGTTTTAAAAAATGGAACAGAAAACTGTCTGTTAAAGCGAAGTTATATAGAGAAGAATTTTTGAATATATACTTATAAAAATGCATTTTATTATCGACAGTGTACGTTCTAGGAATTCAGTAGTACCTCAGTAGTACAACGACTACTCTCATACTCCACTAGTCAATCCTGCTGAGAACAGGAAGCCTTTCTCTGTTGCAAATACGAGTACTACCTTCTTTAACATGTATTGTAATTACAAAATGTAGTATTACAGGGGCCGGCGAAATTTTGATAAAAAAATAAGAAATAATCTATACTTAAAAAGGATTAATTCACCCGAAAAATACCGGCATAATAAATATTTTATAGATTCCATTATGTTTTTTTAAGTTGTAGTGTTCTTTTTGTTTTTTTTTAACAAAAAAGTGATATATATTTTTTGAATTTTCGCCCAAAGAAATGTTTTCTGAAGCTTATTCTGACTTTTTTATGTAAAAATTACTAATGTGCCCGTCATTTTTCTATGCCCAGCCTGCGTCGGGCATTGGTTGACTCAAAATCTGGTGATTTTGCGAAAATGTAATATGATGGGTCCAGGTCCTGCAAAATGTATAGATTGATTCTAGGGTGTAGAGGTTCGATAAGAAGGGATTTTTCGAAATTTCAGTTCCAAGAGACCCTTCCAAACCACCCTTCAAATATTACAATATTTTTTATTTAAAAAACGGTCAAGTTTCCGAAAAAACGCTTAAACACGTATATTTTATTTTGTTTTCTTACATATTTTAAGATTTTTTTAAATATATACAGGGTGTTTCGAAAAATCTGGTCATTGATTAATCACGATCCTGCTTAAAGCGCTTGAGGTAAAAAGCTGATTTTTGGAAAACAGATTGACTTTAGGGTGTAGAGGTTCGATAAGAAGGGATTTTTCGAAACTCGAATTCTAAAGGAGTGAAACTATCCCTCAAATATTAAAATATTTTTTATTTAAAAACCGGTGAGTTTTTCGGAAAAACTCTTAAACACGTATATTTTATTTTGTTGTTTTACATATTTTAAGATTTTTTATAAATTTATTCAGGGTGTTTCATAAAATATGACCATTGAGTAATCACGATTCTGCTTACTGCTTGACGTTTAAAGCTGATTTTTGGCAAACGGATTGACTGTAGGGTGTAGAGGTTCGATAAGGAGGGGTTTCTCGAATCTCAAATTCCAAGAGAGCGAAAACGCCCCTCAAATATTACAATATTTGTTATTTAAAAAACGGTCAAGTGTCCGAAAAAACGCTTAAACACGTATATTTTATTTTATTTTTTTACATATTTTTAGATTTTTTAAAAATGTATACTGGGTGTTTCGAAAAATCTGGTCATTGATTAATCACGATCCTGCTTAAAGCGCTTGACGTAAAAAGCTGGTTTTTGGAAAACAGATTGACTTTGGGGTGTAGAGGTTCGATAAGAAGGGATTTTTCGAAACTCGAATTCTAAGGGGGTGAAAATATCCCTGAAATATTAAAATATTTTTTATTTAAAAACCGGTGAGTTTTTCGAAAAAAACGCTTAAACACGTATATTTTATTTTGTTGTTCTACATATTTTAAGATTTTTTATAAATTTATACAAGGTGTTTCATAAAATATGACCATTGAGTAATCACGATTCTGCTTAAACTGCTTGACGTTTAAAGCTGATTTTTGGCTTGGTTTGGGATTGACTGTGGGGTGTGGAGGTTCGATAAGGAGGGGTTTCTCAAATCTCAAATTCCAAGGGGGCGATAACGCCCCTCAAATATTACAATGTTTGTTATTTAAAAAACGGTTATAAGTCTTTCGGGAAAACGCTTGGACAAGCATAATTAATTTGGTTTTTTCCATATTTTGAAATTTTTTAAAAAATCATACAGGGTGTTCCAAAAAGTTGGGTAATTTCTTAACCACGATTCTGCTTAAACTGCTTGACGTAAAAAGCTTATTTATGGCAAACGGATTTTTCGAAAGTCAAATTCCAACGAGATGAAACTACCCCTCAAATATTACCAAGTTATATAATAATATCGCCATATTGTTTTTTTCTCATGCTGACATAAATGTGAGAAAATTTTATTCAGTTTGTATGTTAATGGAAATTCTTGCTTTGCTTTATCATCGCCATTACAAATGATTAATTCGACGCGAACGAAGTCGCTGGTACACGCTAGTATGATATATGCCTAATAAAAATATAGAATACAGGAAAAGAATCTGATAACTACCAGACGTCTCCTGTAAAATTAGTAAAATGGCAGTTATTATGCTTTTCCCTTGGACCCTTCATATGTAATATCAAAAGAGTACCTTCAATCGACAACCTATGGCTTCAAAACATTTTTAAAAAATCAGAAAATTGCACAATCTGATGTCAGTCACGCCATTTGAACGCGAAAGTCCCTATTACCTCATTTAGGCCAACTTAACGCATTGCATACACATCTAGGGGTCTTTGTTTCTTTGGCAGAACGTTATCGAGGCTAGACTACTATCTAACTAACGTTTTTTCGGTTGGCACCTCGATAATTACTCCGAATATTAAGGCCCAGTTTCACGCATCGTTAAATAAATTATTCGTTTAGGTTTGAAACAAGAAGAAGAAAAAGAAGAGAGGTTTTAATCGGCGATGAATCATCGTCCGTTACAAACAGTAATTAAAATGGAAACCTAATTAGCATAAGGGTATTAGAAGAAGATTCAGTAAACCGTGAAAGAAAATTCACTTTGAGTAACGTTTTATAGATTTGTAACGATCTTACTGTAGCCAATCCCATTTGTAAGAAGCTAGTCTGCAGAAACGGTGGATTCATTAGCAGTTCGGCTGTGACCTCGGTCAAATAGAGAATTAGATCGGGGAAGTTAGCAACTCATTGAAAGCAGGAATTATAAAAGACGATCCTGCTTGGGCTGCTACAATCCTGCTTCAAATCCCAACCCAGCCACACCTACCAATTTTGAACTATAGTTACTTTTATTTTGGTTGCTAACTTCCCAGTTGGCAACACATGAGAAGCAGGATCGCCAAAACTGGTTCCTGCTTGCGCTGCTATACCCCTGTTGCATCCTGCTCTAAATCTCATCCCAGCAACACTTGCTGTTTTTAAGATACAGCAAGTTTAAGTCTGATTGGTGACGTCACACATAGCAGCACAATAAAAGCAGGATGGCTGAAGTTTCTGCTTTGGCTGCTATAATCCTGCCTTATCCTGCTTCAAACCCCGTTCCAGCCACTCTTGTAGTTTTTAAAATAGAACGAATCGATTCCTGGTAATCACTCGCACATTATTAAGATTAGGAATTATTTTTTTAACTTGATAAGTTTCAGCTTAAGCTGCTATTTTTTTGCTTTAATTGCCTAAAATATGTATAAGCTTCCAAGCCATAAATATTTATTCCGAACAGTTGAACAAAATTAGGCAGGTTCAGTGTTCTCAGGAGTAACTTTAGAGTTTTTAGTGTGACATTCGAAAGCGCCTTAACGTACCCGCGAACCATAACCTCAAATTTTCCAGTTTTCTACTATGAATTTGAATTCATAGTTCTCACAAGTGTGATTTGTGTGTTTTTTTTAGAGAAACGTAAGTATTTCTGACGGTCAATGTATCCTTAAACTTTTGTTTTTTACGTTTCGTTCCGTGCCCTAGCGGACAAGTCAGCAACAAGCTTTTATATTATATAAATTGTGTAATGAGATCTAAGAAAAAAAAAGTTGATAGTAAAAGTGTTACAGAAACTTATTTTCTTCTTTTTAGAGCATTTAAATAAAAGCTTGTTTTTAAAAATGTTTTTAAAAGCTTTTATTTGATTTGCAATGTATGTATGTATATGTGTGTATTTACCGCGGCTTTTGGATTGTTTGTTTTTGTCTCTATCTAACACATTTGAATTGGCGGTATCGATTGTTTTTGATAAACAGTAAAATTGTCACGTGATGGTCATCTTTCGTGATTTATAGTTTTTTTAGTTTTTTGTTTAATAAAAATTTTATTTTTGCATATATATTTGTTTAATGTTTTTTTTCCAGTTCACATCCCCAATGAGCCCATCGGTATTCTTACGTAATTTACTGGCAGTCTCGTTGTGAAAGGAATCATTAGAAGCATTTTATATTTGATCTTTTACAGTCCAATTCAAACTCAAACAATCAAAACTCCAATTCCCGATTTCCAGTAATCAAAACGAAATTTGCTGTATTTCAAAAACGATAAGAGTGACTGGTATAGGGTTTGAAGCAGGATGACACAGGATTATAGCAGCCAAAGCAGGAACTTGTTTCAGCCATCATACTTTTATTGTGTTGCTATGTGTGACGTCACCAATCAGACTTAAACTTGCTGTATCTTAAAAACAGCAAGTGTTGCTGGGATGAAATTTAGAGCAGGATGCAACAGGAGTATGGCAGCGCAAGCAGGAACCAGTTTTGGCGATCCTGCTTCTCATGTGTTGCCAACTGGGAAGTTCGCAACCAAAATAAAAATAATTAGAGCTCAAAATTGGTAGGTGTGGCTGGGTTGGGATTTGAAGCAGGACACAGCAGGTTTGTAGCAGCCCAAGCAGGATCGTATTTAATAATTCCTGCTTTCAATGAGTTGCTAACTTCCCCGATCTTAGAAAATTGTTATCGAAAAAAAAGGCATGACAATAATAATTTTGGCTAGGTTAAGCCTTTAGGCGTCATTTACTTAGCCTGTACTCTTCTTTATTTTTTAATGGCGCTTACTGCCAGTTGGCCTTAAGAAGGTTGTAATATAATTTTATATACTTAGAATAGTCATAATCAAGAGGGTTATTGTAACCATGTTATAAAAGTAAGGTAATTAAGGGCTTATTTTTTCGTATTTATTATAATTTTCCTAATATCTTCGGTTTGAAAGAGGATATCAAGATGCGGTTTTCGCTGACTTTATAAGTTTTTATTACTCTTTACTATGAGCT